TTGAAAAGTGATTATTACCGGAGGATGGTCAAATTCTCTAAATTTTGTCCGAATAAATTTTCGAGCGGATTCATTTCGTGCGATCTGGGTGGCCAAACCATTTGTTCGTCACTAGAATGTTCTTCAAACCAATCGCATACAATTGTGCCCGGTGACATGTCATCCATAAAAATTCCATCGTTGTTTGGGACCATGAAGTCCATGAATGGCTGAAAATGGTCTCCAAGAAGCTGAACTTTCCAGTCAATGATCGGTTCAGTTGTACCATAGGACCCAGTCCATTCCGTGTTAGAACAGTCCACATCTTTACGGAGCCACCGTCAGCTTGCACAGTGCCTTATAAACTTCGGCCCATCGCTTCGTGAGGTCTGCGCCACACTCTTAACTCTACCATCACCTCTTACCGACTAAAATCGGATCCCATCTGGCAGGGTTTTCCAGTCGTCTAGGATCCAATCGATATGATCACGAGCCCAGGAGAGGCGCCGCAGGCGATGTGCACTCGAGTCAGCATTCTGCTGACATAGCCTATTAAAGCAAAATTACGCCGCACTGTTCTTAAAGATACGTTCGTCATACTTCATTTATTTCTGCATTAATTTCCCGCCGTGGCTTGTCTGTTAGCACTGCCAAATTACGCAAACGCCGCTGCTTCCGGTCATCAAGTGAAGGCCGTCGGCCACTGTCTTGTCCGCGGGGAGAGGTTATGCCTCAAATTAGGAACTCTTGACATTGTGGATCTAGGAATATTGAATTCCTTTACGATTTCCGAAACGGACTGCCCCATGTGACTAGCTCGTCCACCATTGTGACTACCATTTCGCGTTAAAAATCTGTTTCCATCGTGCGGCCATGATTACGTCAGAAACCTTTCCACATGAATCGTTGAAGTACAAATGAAAGCTCTGCCAATGCACTGCCCTTTTATATATTTTGTATGTGATACTGCTGTCATATGTATATTTGCATATTGCTATCCTATGACTTTTAGCACCTCGGTATATAATTTCTTCTAAAATATGGTTGACTGTTGGAGTTGTCATGATACCGTTGTATTGGCATTCGGGAATTTATAACACAAATATGAGAACATACTCCCAAACATTCTACATTATCAAATATGAAGTCAAGCCATTCTGTTGAAGTGTCCCATTTTGGAGTGACAGTTGTATCAGAAAGCAATTAGTGCTGCTACAGATTGGCACAGACTTTCTCGTAGCAATTTTTTCTTAATTCCTTGGTGTTGCCTACGGTCTTGCCCCATCCTCTGCCATCTATCGCCGCCCACAATTCATTCTCTTTTGAACTTTTATCAATTTTTCGGTTTCCTAATAGTAGATTCGTAGTACTTTCAAAATATTAAAGAAGAGTAACATCTCGTCCTATAGTCCTCGAAAAGTGAGGATGCCGTTTTTAATAAACAACAACTACGTTTAAGCTCTCGTGCAAATGCAAAAGTTCAAGTTTTTGACAAGAATCTTTTCGAAAAACTTCATTTGAAGACTTTTGAAGCACTTTCACTCCCAAATGCAATAATGTATACAAATTACTTAAAATGGGCATATAAACTGCGTGAGAGATGTCAAAAAAACATTTGTGTATTTTTTTAAGAAAAACAAACAAAGAATAGAGCAATAAGGCGTTTATAACATTTCATAGAGTACATTTAGCAGTATCTCTACAAAAAGTTTAAATGAAAAAAATTGGAGCAGCTTTGATCTAAAAAAAAAACAAACAAAATCTTGACTTTTGGGTTTTTAATTGCACGAAAACTACAATTTAAAAAAATGTACATGACCTTAATGAAAGAGCTAATTACGGACAACAAATTTCATTTGAAGAAAAAATCTCCATCTTCAATTTTGTAGTTGTAGGAAGTTGCCGAATACATTCAAACTTTTGCAATTATAGTTAACAGTGAAACTCCGCACCTTCATAAATGTATTTCACTCTATTCTTTCTTTCGAAATTTAAAGAAAAAATTTGGAGACATTTGTGAGAAATTTTGAAAATTTCGCTGGGGCTTCATGTAAAGAACCCACAAATTTTAAAGAATGTTTTCAAAATTTTAAAATTTTTAATTGTCAATTTTTTTAAAATTTGGGTCGGGTCGCTTCAGATTGACCGGGGAATATCCATTTTCAAAAAAAATCATACGTACGGTTTAAGCGCTATTAGTGTTCACAGACAGACTGACGAAAGGACGGACGTTTTGGAGAAGAAAACTTATTCGGTATCAGGCGATCTCAAAATTGCATTTCCGTCTAAGTCTCGAAATCAATTTTCGGCAGCATTACATAACTTTCTCTATTCTATACATGATATATATATATATTTTAGGATATATATATATATATATATATATATATATATATATATCATGTATAGAATAGAGAAAGTAAACATAAATACACCAGGACATGGATCCCCCCCTTAAATAACACAAAATTAACTTGACAGGTAAAATATTTTCTCTTGAGAACTCTTCTTTGTCATACATTTTAGAACACTCAAACTGACTCATTTGTTGCACTGGATCTACATTAATGTGATTCTAATGACGAAATTACATGTTTCATTACATTGATACTGTTCTTCGGGCACTTATTTAAGTTTAGTAACACACCTTCCTTGCATGTCAGCTGCTAGTGTGTTTGTTTTAGGATATTTTTGTGTGAACACTGTTCACTGGTTTCTGTAATAAATTAAGGGTATAAAAATGGAATTCTTTACATACTTTAATTTTTGAATCTCTTAATAAGAAGCTATATTTAAACCATGTATGTTTTTCATGAATTTTCAGGTCAAGGACAATTTGTAAAAAAGCATTTATAGAGATTAAAATCAATAACCCCTTTTCATTATGAGACAGAGCACAATAAGAGCTTAACATATCCTTCCTTTCTTCATTGCTGATTTGTTTGCTTCACCTAAACTTGCAATGAATTTGCAATCTTTAGTAATTCTATTTATTTTGTAGTTACCTTCAACTTATGTCTCAGCTGACCCCAGTTGTGTTTCATCTTTTTGAAAGGACTTCTCCAGTTATTCACATTTCTTACCTTATTCTGTGTAATTTTGGCAGTTTGAAGATTCCCAGACCTGTTGAAAAATATCAGTTACAGTGGCTTTCACAATTGAACTTACACCTTCAATGCTACCATGAGTTTTTCTCATTCAAGTATTTCAAGAAATAAAATATGTAATTTTGATAGTTGATGTTCCTTGGAACGATTAGGGCAATTTGAAGCAGAAAAAAGCTTTATTAGATGTAAAATTAAATATTTTGTGTGACAACTACAATTAAGAATTACACAGAAATGAATGTACACCATCAGAATTGTGCTTTCAAACGTACCTGATGAAATGTTTTCTTAGGCCCAAAATAGATTAGTCGATAAACAGATAAGTCGATGGTCAGATTTCCAGAGAGTAACACCAAATTGAAAATGCCCTGAGAAGTGAAAAGACGGTGGACAAATGTAGACTGATTGGGAGTTTAGCTAAGAGGGGAAGACCACTATGCGGTATTGCAAAGACTGTGGGAAGGCCTCATTCAACTATTCAAGGTATAGTAGACAAATTCAAGTATGATGGCAGATTAATTAATAAAAGGAGAAGAGGCAGAAAGTCAATACTCAACAAATGGGATAAAAGAATCATTGTCAATCACACAAGCAGGAAATGCCATTAGTGTTGTTAGTGCAGTTAGGAAATGCCAAAGCGTCGTTAAAATGGCTCTGTGGGTGGTTCAAGAACAAGGAGATCTGTATTCCTAGAAACCTTCTGAAGGATATTAACAGATGCAGGTTACAATAGGAGAGTAGCCAAAAAGAAGACTTGGATTAGAAAGGCATATTGGCACGATAGACTGCAGTTCATGAAGCATTACAGAAACAACTCTTCAGAGTTCTGGGAAACTGTGATTTGCAGCATTGAAAGTAAATTCAAAATATTTGGATCAGGCATGCAACAGTACATGTGGAAAAATGTTAAAACAGCCTTAGAAACTAAAAATTTATGTGCAACTACAAAGCACGGCAGGGGCTCTCTTAGGGTAGGGAGCTGCATGTTTGCATCAGGTGTCATGATTCTCCATTTTATAGATTCCATAGTTGACAAATATGGATATTTTTCAATTTTAAAAAGTAATGTCCTCCAAAATTTGGTCTGGGGCCGACATATTACTTTCAGCAAGACAACGCGCCCATCCACACAGGCATATAATTAAATCATGATTGCTATATAACGTATCAAAGCACCTTTAAACACTGCCAGTGCAGAAGCATAAAGTTTCAAATAAACAAGAGCTCAAGAGGGTCCTTGCTGAGAAATGGAAGGAAAATTGCAACTGAATTTACAAGGAAGCTTGGAAGATCAACATCAGCAAGACTGGAGACCGTCATTCATGCAAAAGGTCTTTCCATTGGCGTATTATTTTGTTTTGGTTGAAGACAAATTGCCAGTGAATGTTCATTTTTGTGGTGAATTGCATATGCATTACAGAAGTTTTATTTATTATTTATTCACTAATTTCAACATATTTTGTAATGTATGAGTAAAGAATGTTTGTGTTAATATCTATATATGTTTTGAACCGTACAATTCTGCAATAATAATTTTGTTCTATGCCAGCTTGGATTTTCTTATGTAGTGTATGGTCAATTTTGAGAGCCATTGAACTAATTAAATATTTCTTTGACAAGCTTCAAAACAAACTTGCAATTATGAGATTTTAACCAAGAATGAAATTACAGTCATTACAGCCTTGTCACTCTTACAAGTTTGATTTATTTCCTGCAGATAGAACCCGTATATTATTGAAGTAAATACATTACTCTTCAAATGCCATCACATTTAAATATTGTAATGGAACTGATCCTTTACTATTTTATATTGAAACTCACTTTTTCCATTTTTGGTGAATAGTACCTTGTTGCAATAAGCCCACAACATAGGCACTATTTTTTATTTTATTCACTGATGTACACTTGTGTTATACGTGTTGGAATATTCACTATGTAATTTAAATTTCATTATGAATATGTATTTCTGGCCTTAAATTTGATACTTGTTCAATAAGGAGGAGTATAAGAAAAGGAAGAAAGAAAATTAAATTCTACATAAGCTAAAAGGTATCTAATTTCATAAAAGATTCCTTCGGTGTACATGTGACTATCATGAAAATGTTAGGAAATAGCAAAAATCTGGATTTCATACATTTTGTGCATGATAAACATTTTCTCTTTTCTACATTGTGATAAATTTGTTACTCTCACATATTATCAACACAAACATAAATAACTTACAATTTTCAAAATTACAATATAAATTAGAAAAATTAGCAATATTATTATTATTATTATTATTTGTATTTACAAATGTTACACAAAAATATCTCTTAATAAATTCTGGAAGTTTCTCGACTTAGAGAACTGAGACATAAATACTGAAACACTGTGTACAGTACAATTCATCAATGTTAAAATTTACATTGCACAACAAATAATGTATAAAAATATAGTTCTTGTATATTAAATGATATGTTTAAAACAAATATATTTATAAAATGTAACAAGTTCTACACTTTACTGTGGTTCACATTACTTTCAATGCTCAGAGATGAAAATTAATTAGCGAACACTAGAATAATTGAAATGCATAACTGAATTTCTATATAGTTAATCAGGCATATTTCTTGTTCGTCGCACACCTGGACTAAGCCTATACAACTGCACTTGGAGAAGAATGAACAAGTCGATGCATACTTGCAAGGCACCACACACCCAAAACTGCAAAGGAGCCTCTCGAAGAAGAAAATAACAGGTCTTAAATGTGTCTCCCATAGTCCACATCATCACCATTGCCACACTGAAATAAAATATTTACAATCTAGAAAAGTATTCTTCAGATAGTATTTAGTACATATATTTTTACACTTCACAGTCAAATTCTGTGAATAAATCATACCTCATCCCCTCAGTTGATTTATGTCGGTAATTTCTAAACAACTGTGGAGCTCCCAATAACGCCTCTGCAAAGAGGGCTAAAAATCCTATTAGTTCTACAATAAAACTGATTTCTACAAAAAGGTACATAAAAAATGATGTCACAATTGTGAATACTATCAAGAAATCCACATATGATATGAAATCAGTCCATGCCCAGAAGTATTTGGTGTCAAAATCTGAAATAAAATAATAAGAAATCAACACTAGATTTAATTAGCTGCTAAAGTATAAGTCATTTCACTACAGACACTGAAGTTGCCCTTCAGAATCATTTGCAAGGCTTTTTAGTTACAAAACTTTGACAGTAAAATCATGCTTGAATAATCAATAAAACCTTAACAAAGATTCCTATTCTCCTTGGAATAATTCAGTGGATCTGAGAGGTCTCTGTATAACAAAATATGTAAGTTGTCTACACTGATATTTTAATATCTATACTAGAATTGTTATTTGCTCTTCCAGTGAATTCATGTAATGGGATACCCTCACAAGGCACAAGAATTACATCCTCCTTTTCTTTGACAATGTTTAGTTTGAATGTTTAATTTTATTTTTTTTCTTTTCCCCAAACTTTTTTTAAAAAGATGTTTAAATCAGAATTTCTTGCATCTACACTTTCCCAATGCAATAATAGTTACAATCACACACATTCAATAATTCAATAACCAGCAAATTGCAACATCAGAAAGAAAGGTTCTATTTGACATTTTCAGACAAAATAATATTTTCCCATGTTTAAACTAGTCTATCTACAACATATTAAAACAATTTTCACATGACAGTTGTAGAAAGCTTCTAGTTACAAAAAAGATATAGCAATTTACATATCATTATAATATATCTATAGATATAAAATATATCTCCAAACTTTCAAAATACTCTATGATATTTCTTTAAAGTTGGATTAAACTCTGCCATTCATGAAGCTGCAAAATACCAAATCTTTTGGAAATTTTCTGGAATTTAAGATAGTTCAAACCGATGCTAATCTTGGGGTTTAGTTCTGTCACCAAGAATTTATAGAGCCACACATTCCATATACCACCTGACAACCTTGGAACTTAGAGTATAGTTTTAACATACACATAATACATCCTCATGAGAATAAACAAAAAGAACCATAAGAAAAGAATTAGAAGCATCAGAAATATCCAGCAGTGCACATGCAATGAAGAAATAAATTAATTTGAGAAATAAAAAAGTGTTTTTTAAGATAAATTGTTCTTTGAATTAAAAAGAAGTTTAGTTCCATTTCAAAACAACATTTAACATTTGCGAATTTTGTTATTTAGCTTTTTATTCAATTACCATTTCCATGTTAAACCAGAATTGCTTAGTATTTCATAATATGTTTTAGTAAAGTTTATACTATGTTTATACTACGTAGTGTGTTTTCATAAAGTATTCTCGGAATTTACCAATTACAGTAACCCTTGCACCCTGAAGGGTCTTTTCTGACCCCACCATTTATATTAATTATATAATATAAAGTATAAATTATATATATAAGCATAAATAATTATATTTTATTATATATAAGTTAAATATTTTATTTATAAAAATTTAATGACCTTGATACACAATTAGTTGCATAGGCTTCCGCGGCCAGAGTTTGTGTTGTCTAGGCTATCCAGGACGAGCCGCGTCACTGAAACACTGGCCGAAACGTTAGCCACCATGTCAGTGATGCGGCTTGTCCCGGATGGCCTAGAAAACTAGATATACTATTGTTGGCCCTTCTAATGCCAAATCAATTCATTTTTTAATCAAAAAGATTTTGAATTTGAATCAAATGTTCATGATATTATTGCTCACTTGAGCAGTACTGGAATAAATATCACAACTGATAATTTTTTCTCTTGCTAAGAACTTGGTCAAGAGCTTGAGAAACAAAATCTTACTCTTGTAGACACACACTGCTCCAACCGTGGTGAAAGAGAGAAGGAAGAGAAAGTTCAACTGATAAAAAAGATAAGACATGGAATTCGCAGTTGTGTCAAAAGGAAGAAGGATCTATCAGTGATTTTCCTCGCTCTGTTTCACTGCACTCCAAAAGAAAATGTTTCACAAACAACACCATAGTACATTGCAATAGTTTTTCTGATCAGATTGAGTGAATAGCAATGGTTACTATTATAGTTACACTGAATACAATATAAACGATAAATTTAACATTATTGGAGGCTGTATCAGAAAACTGGAAGAAACAGCATGTCCTTTACAGATATGCCAAATTTGAAATTTACAAAATGATTTAATTAATTTGATTTCCACCCATCCAAATAAATTTTAATAATGTGAAGTTAATGGGAAATATTTTATGATTAACTCTATGCAAATTAAAAACTTATTTAATTGTTAATCTATGTATTTATTTCTGAAAGGTTGGCAAAAGATTTAGTAGGAGGAATACCAACAAATCATCCCCTCAAACAAATGGGCATGTTCATTGCATAGGCATCATTTAATGAACGGATAAATTAATTTATTACTTACATAATTATTAAACGTTTGAGATCACTTTAATTAATCAATAAAACAGCTTCAAATGTCCAACATTTAACAGAGCTTAATGCTAATGCTCTAATAAAAAACCATTGGGATTTGGGAGTTGCTAGCTATAAAGAAATATAAATTAGTTTTAGAGAATACTTCTCTACAGAAACATGAAAATAGTTGACATGACACCAAAAAAGATCTATGAATATTAAAATAATTTTATAATATGCAATAAATTGAAAAATGTAAATCACAATCTCTTGGATTTATTCACAACTGCTTCCGATGTAAATCAGCTGATTCAGTGTCAATCCAACCAGAAGGTTGAATTCCACTATAGTGATGTGTAAGGTCCCAATTGGATCCCATAACAGCTAATGACCTGCCAAAGGCAGCATTGAATATATCGCAGTATAACAGTTTAGAAGTCAATCTGATTTAACAGTTCCTATTCAAAATGAGGTTTTTTGAAACTTTGTGAAGTATGCACATTCAACATAATATTAAAAGGGAATCATTACATAAAAACATTAAAAATTCAGAATCAATGAAAGAAAATTACATTAAATCTTGTAACAGTAATACTAAATGATGCCCTAATTTTTGTAATATACATTTTTAGTTTCATATCAAGATAAAGGATTCCAGGTCTTTTTTTCGTGTTCTTCTCTCCTTTACCAATTAATCTTTTACAGTAACTAAAGTTTCTCTTTTGTTCATAGTTGTTTACATCTGCCAGTAATTATATCACTAATTCTTCAAATACACCAGTTTTATAAAATATTAACATCAGCGACAACTGTCCAGAAATGTAATTAAATGTTTTTTAAATAATAATAATAATGATAATAACAATAATAATAATAATAATAATTAAGAGGCAAAATATTTTCTCTAAGTAACATTGCTGCTTGTATTCATGAACACTATGAAAGAAATTTGCAATTGTAACTTAGCACCCTTCAAGAACAACATTCACCTGAAATGGTGTGCCCCTTGAATTGAATCCACTTAACTGAATTCTAAATGCTTTCATTCTCGGCATTTCAGAGTTAATGAATGTTCTGCCCCTACTTCTTTGCCTCACATTTATTTGTATGACAAGAAGCTACACTGACACATTTAAAAAACCACAAATTATGAATGTATTTAACAAATACAAGTACTGTATATACTTAACGAGTCAATGTACAATTTCAGTAAAAAATCATGAAGAACATGCAGCTAGCATAAGCAGACATTGAATCCAGTTAAGTGGACTATAGGAATGAGGGGGAAATAAACAGACAGGAGTTGAACACCACTTCAACATGGTATAGTGAATTATGTATTTTTATCTTGAAATTGTTTGAAATGAATGTTCTGGGGGGCAGTAAATAATTGCGAAGTTTCTTAAAAGAAGTGTATCATTTTTCATTTAAAGCATTTATGTTGGAGAATGTAAATTATTTTAAAATCTTATCTAAAAATCAAAGATACTTTCTTTTTTAACAAAATATGAATTTAGTAATATCATATAACTCAAATTTCCTGAAATATGAATTTCCAATAGAGTGTACTTAGTGCATTTAGATGCATGTAGTCAATCTTGAGATAAGTGTTAATATTGCATGCTTATAAAACCTATTATAATGTTCTTATAAAACCTTCTTGAATTACATTTTTCAAATAATGAAACTGCCAAAGATAACAGTATTTCTAATATTTTTTTTTAATTTTCCCTGGTTTGCCATAGTATATGAATCAAATTATGAACCATTTTTCAATAAAACATTTCAAAATGAGATAGACTACAAATTCAGAAGCAGCCTCAAGCATTTAAATTTTCCATTGGAAAATGCAATATATTATTTTTGAAACTAATTTTTCAAAAGCATCACAACAAACTCAGAAGCACAATGTAAAATAAAACTATTCGAAATAGCAATGACTGGTCTAAGTTAAACTATATAAAATTTTGAAGTAGTAAGTGTCCATTAACTTGTCTGCTTTAATAAGACGAAATGAACATTTCTAATGAAATTTTAATATTCATGGTAAAATGAGAAATAATAAAGGGCCAATAATATAAACAATCACTTCTTCATTCAATTTGTGTTTCTTTCATTTTCTCTTTTTTCTCCTGATTTTAAGAATTTTATTTCATACAAATATGAATTACAGATAATGAAACTTTCATGTTCAAAAAGAAATATAATCGTGAATGAAATAACATCTACACGATATAAAAAAAAAATACACACTTGCAAAATGAATCCTAAGAAACCATTCAATATACAAAGGACCTAAAATTTGATGATGGAAATTTAACAGAAATGATGTGAAATATAGTGCAGTAAAAATAAGCAGGAAGTAGGAAAATGAGTTTGATCACAGTGTTATAAAAGATCATCCCATCTACACGTAAGCTACTCAAACTGCATCCCTGACAAATCTACCATACCCAAGGTACCACATACCCAAGAAGTTGTGATCTGCACGCCGCTGCTTTGAGTGGCTTGGTCTGGGATCCCTGGTGCCAGGGTCTGTCACAAGACAGAACACAGGGTTAGGATTGGTGGTGCATATTGCGAAAGGATTGTTCAGTGGTGAGACCAAATCATCAAACGCATACTTCTTTCAAGTTAAAGTAATAAAGGTGAGGGGGAAAATGAAATTGTGAGAACAGAAGTGTGGAAAAGCAAGAGTGAGAAACCACAAATATTATACTCTATAAATATTCAAATGTGAAACAATTTACAATGATATAAATAAAAATAATAATTCATGTTTGCTGAATTTTGTACTATCCTTTCCTTTCTATCCTATGCCTTACTGTCAAGTCTAATAGAGAAGATTAAGAAATCTCAATTACACATGCATTGTTGCCAGACATTTTTATTATGATCTACAATATTTCATGCATTCGGCTACTACTAAAATGGTTAAAGTTTTCGTACTCCCATCTTACAATTAGTACAGCACTGGAAGAAAAGAGTAAATTTTTTTGCCAACAAATGTTCTAAAATAACAAAAGAAAATAAATATGCAAACGACTAAAATACAAACAAATCTGCACACAATTGCTATTTATATTACACATTCAATTTTGCAAGGCAATCTTGAAGTCTGAAATGCAATTCTCTTGAAAGGCAAGTTTTGCACAACACATCCTTTACAATGCAAAATTTTTAATTTACAATTCAATAAAAAAAACAAATAATATAGCACAAAAGTACCTGTGAAAACTCTTTCACGACCTCGAATTATCTGGTTTCTGTTTTTAACTGTTACACACAAATTGACCATTATCAACATTGTTATATTCATAATAATACTTTGAATTAACAACGGAAGTTCATATCTTTTACCAAACCTAAAAAGGAGTAAAATAATGAATCATTGTCAACACAATTACATATATTATTTATTTCTTTTTCTATTTTAGATCTAAAAAATGTAGGTAAATAATATAATTTTGTATGAATATTGTAATTCTAGCAGAACTTACCAGAATAGGATTCTCAATGTATTAGCAATAAGCAGAGTTAAACACACAAAAAGGGAAAAACCTTCAGCATCATCAGTTCGTTTTATTTCTCTGTACTGAGGTATGAAAGGCACCACACCCCCAAATACCATAGCCATAATAGCACCCCATTTTACTAGTTTTAAAATAGATATGTCTGACAATTCTTCCCAAAGGTTATCCATAGGAAATTAAAATGGGGGAATGAAATTAATATAAAAGAAAAGGAAGCGTATTGCTAAAAAATAACTAGGGTTCGTTTACACCAAACATTGGTGACTAGAAAACATCTTGTAGCATCTTTTGCATCATATAAAAATACTGCAATACACTTTCACTATTGTACATGCACACGTGTCATCCGTCTTTTTAAAAATAGCAACAATTCACAACAGTTAAATTCGTCATTCATTTCAGTAGGGCACCTGCAGAAATCGTGGAGAGATCTCCAGTCACATTTACGTATCTAATAGAATAATCTAACAGAACATCTAATAGAACGTATCTTTTACATTAGTGATAACAGGATTTTGCCGATAATGCTTGTATTACGAAATACGGCTTGTGACACCTGTTTATTAACGTTACTTGCAACTGTTAGCATTTTCCCACATACTGAACTACGGCCATATCATATGTGATCATATGGTGGAAATCACGTTAGTTTATCGAAACGAAAAATATAAACAGTTAACAAAACGAAAATTTTATCGAAAGGTTTCTTGCTTCATAAAGATTTCTTCACGAAAATTAGGCACACTTCCGTGACAATTTCTAGGGAGATTTTTCACAAATGTAATTTCTATGGCCAAAAAATCTGTTGACACATTAAAAAAATACACGTATCTTGTTGCGCGCCAGTGGTGCTACGCAATGCTCAAGAGCATTACGAGAAGCAAGGAGAATAGTGAGTGAATAGGTTTCAAAGGGGCTCAGACACAGCATACTCGCTGTGCACAGCTGTGCTCGTAATTCACCACCATAAACGTAAACAACACCGAGCGCTAATCTGGCGCTAATGCCGGCGGTTCTAGTTATTTAAAAGCGGTTTAGGGTTAGGTGTGTAAATGTTATGAAAAGCGGTTCGTGTGACAAGGTGTGTGAGAAGACTGAAAACTTGAGAGAGGGGGAGATTGTAGGAAAGTGATATTTAAATTATATTGCTCCTCTTCTCATAATGGGAATCCCTCGAGTTCTGGGGTGAGTGCTCCAATATCATATATTTTTTATTAAAAATTAAGATACTTTGTTATAAATACCTTGCTAAACTTATCGAAATTCTAGCCAATATTTTCAAATTATTTTCAGGCTTGAAATGGTCCGAGTTACTTCACTAATTTCCAGGTGCTCTTCTGTTCCAATTATACAGTCTATAAGATGCTCTTGCTACTCAGGTTTTGGAACAGCAGGAGAACTGAAATTTACTAGACATTGCCGTTTTTATAGTACTAATAAGGAAGATAAAAAGTCATCCATTACGAAAGTTAAGTCACAAGGTGTTACTCCAGGCACCTTTGAACAAGGTTTGTGCTTGGTGCGTACTGTTTATTTATGAAACTGAAGCAGTTAATGTTTATTGTGATATGAAATAACTAATTACAGTTATGAAATTCAAGTTGTTGTTTTTCAGTTAAAGAAAATACAAAGACTGCATCATATTTAGGTGTCATTGTAATTGGAGTGGGAGTAACTGGTATTATGTTCTATGCTGTGCTACGTGAACTGTTCTCCAGTAAAAGCCCCAACAATGTTTATAGTGCTGCCCTGTCGAGATGTTGTGTTGAACCTCGGGTGCTTAATGCTTTGGGAGAACCTATTAAAGGTTTTGGAGAGGAGACAAGGCGGGGTAGGCGACGCCATGTTAGGTAAATTATATTATTATTTGAGAAGTTAATTGTTTATGATATTGTTATCTTCATTCACTTTTCCTCTTGCTTCTAGCCATCTTTTTTATCAGAAAAATGGTACCAATTATCTTAGAATGCAGTTCTACATACAAGGAAGTAGAAGGAGAGGCACTGTTCATTTGGAGATGAAAGAGGTAGTTATTACAAAGGCATGATCATTTAAACTACTTGTGTTATTTGATTAATTAATTAATTAAATAATTCTTCCACAGGATGACAAAGGCAAATTTGAATACTCATATTTAATAGTTAAGATGGATGATTATCCTCCAGATGTTATAGTACTGGAAGATAATAGATTTGACGTCCAGCCCAATAATGGAGGAGCTTTTGAGCTGTAAACTAGTCAGCTAGTGAGGACATGTGAACAATTTCTTCCAGCAGATTGTGTTCAATTTTTTAATCAAACTTTGTACATGCAAGTGAAATGTTTTGTTGATGTATTGAAAATAATGTTTATTTTATTAAAACAGTCTCCTTTGAGATACGTAAATAAAATCATTTATAATTAAAGAGCGCTTTTTAAGTCATTTAATTATGTTTTCAAGAACAGGAAACAATTAGTAGTATTTAAATTGAACAAAGAAATTGTGGCAAAGAAAATATATAGTTTAAACATCTGACAAATCAATTAATGATATACCGGTTTTCCTAATAGAATGACAAATGGGGAAACTGCACCTGAAAAGTCTACTTCTGTTGAACAGAATGTATTGTACAGTTCACTAATTGTGAGAGGAAGAAAGCATAAAAAGTTCTCTCTACTCATACATCATTCATTGCTGGAAACATGACTTTGAAAATGCTTAAATATTAAATAATGTGGGTGATAAGCTGCAACCTCATCTTAAGCCTTGATTTATAAAAAGTTTCTGCGAGTATTTTCCTCCAATGTCAATGATTGTTTTCATATATTTGTCAGATTGTCTCTATCAAATGCATAGGATTACCTCTTTTATACATGATGTTCCGTAATTTGTATCTTAGTATTCTATCGAAAGCTTTGACATAATCTATGAAGGCTTAGTGCATCTCTATATTAAATTCCTTTGTTTTTTTAATTATTTGTTTTATAGTGAAAACATTGTCAGTGCTACATTGTCTTTTTCTGAAGCCACATTGTTCTAATAATAGAGCTTGAGATATTTTTTAATCTTTCATTTAGAATTTTGCCATATATTTTGTAGCTTGTATTTAGAAGGATATTTCATTGTAGTTGTCACAAGAGCATCTTGATCCTTTTTTAAATAATGGAATAACTTTAGCTAATTTCCACTCTAGGGATTTTCCTTTTTCTCCAACATTTGTTAACAAATATTAACATTCTTTCCATGAGGTAACTTCCTCCATGGTTGAAAAGTTCTGTACTTATATTGCCAGGTCCTGCAGCTTTTCTGTTTTTTAATTTTTTGTATGCATTATTTAGCTCATGTTTGGATATTTCATCTACTTCGTAAATGTCATAGTAATGTTGATTTTGATCTACGTCATTGTCTACATCTGTTGTCCATAATTTTTAATAGAACTCTTTCGAATCTTTCTGCAATATGACAGACATTTTTGCTGTATCTTCCTCCATAGCATTTAAGGGCCTTAGAGCTTTGAATGTGAATATCTGCCTTCCATGGATGTCATTCTCTATTCTAATGATTATAACGATTCGAGGAGTTTTCATGAGCTTTTCTGGTAATTTCTTAGTCACATTACATGTTTGGTGGTAAAGAGCTTGTGCTTCTTCAGTACCATTCTGTAAGTATCTTGTGTATGCTAGTCTTTTTTTCTTCCATAGGTGTCTCAATTTCATCATTATCTCAAACCTCCACATCTAATAGTTTTGTTTTTCCCCTAAGACTTAATAGGCTACTACCTTTTTGGATCTTCCATTCATCCTATATATAATCGCACTCATTTTTTTTTTTTTAGTGCATTTGCTAGCCTGTTTTCATATAGATTTGTTATATTCTGCTTTCTTCTAACAGATATGTCTTGAATACTTTCTCATTTGAAGTATGTCTATTTTTGTCACTACTAAATAGTGATCTGAGTAAATATCAGCCCCTCTAAATACATGGTATATCTCACTCTTGGTGATGGTTTTTGGTTAACAATGACATAGTCTATGAGTGACTGAAATCGTCTAGCGCTCCAAGTATATTTATTAATAATTTTCTTTCTAAAGAAAGTGTTTGTGATTTTGAGTGTGTTTGTTGTTGCAAAGTCTTCTAATCTTATCTAATTTTCACTCACCCGAGTTTCTCCAAATGTGACGACGACATTTGGTGTAGGGTGGTTACCCACTCTCGCATTAAAATCACCTGTGAGTATAACTTGATCTGTCTTGCATATTTTGTCAAGGGTTTATTGTTGATCTTCATAGATGTCATTTTCCAATTTTTGTCCTTCTTCAGGTGCATATATGCCAATCACGGTTCGATGAGATCTTTGATCTTTAAATTTCACTGATATGATTCTTTCCCTAACAAAAGTATACTTTTTATTTTTTGTTCTCCTTTTAGAATTTATTAAAATACTGACTCCTGCACTTGCTCTTTTCTCATGTTCTACATCATTGCATAGTATTGCATGATCCCCAATATCTTTTGTACCCTTTAATTTTCTTTTTGTTTCACTTATTACAGCAATATTGATATTCTTGTTCTTAAGACGTAATATTAATTCAGTTTCTTTTGTTGATAAGCCTCGAACTTTCCAGGTAGTTACATTTAGTTGGTCTGCTAATCCAAATCGTTTTTCATGCATTTTCTGTCAACTAGTACATCTGGCTTTCTATGTCTGAGAAGCTTGACAGTTTATTTGTATGTCCTCAGGATGGATAACTGGTTTGATTGCTGAGCGAGTTAAGTGTTAGGGTTGTTGAAACTGGCCTCGTTTGATTTTAGGGTTAGTTTCCCATAGACAGATTGTCTTTCCGAACGTAGAGGATCTGTCCTCCCCACAGAATTGCTCTCTGCAGGAGTGCTTCATCTGTTAGTGGAGCCGGTGACAAGTTATCCTCTTATGCCTTTGCTGCCTTTAAAGTCTTCACCGTAACCCTGGCAAAGGGCCGTCAGCTACCAGCCAGGCTAACTGAGCCTAGGTTTTTTAAAGAGGTGTTACTCCTTATCACTCCCCTCTTCGTCCTGGCTTGTGACAGGCAGAGCCTGGCTTCACATCAGGGGCCCAGGTTGTCGGGATTGGGATCAAAACTATAGACTAAAAGTACCGTGTGATAAGAAAAATCGTATTAAGATAGAAAGTTACTAGCAAGGCTGATAGTTGTACTGATCACGGACACAAAGGTTTATGATTAACTATTCCAATAGATTTCCGCTAAGGGTAAGTTCTGCAAAAATGTGTCAAAATTCAACTGTCCATTACACTTAAACAATGTGTGTAATGAAAAAAGTTGTAAGGAATGTAAGTGAAGGAAATTTTATGTATAATCTTTAGGTAATGAGTAATTTTTTGCTTAAATTGAATGTTTTTTTAGGTATAGGTTTTATGTTATTAAATTCCAACGATAATATTTTTTGGCAAACTTTAGATTCATATTGAGTATCCCCAAAACCATAGTGAAGCAAAAAATCAACTTGATTATGAGCTACATAGCTACTAATAGCTAGAGTTCAGCTGGAGACTGGATAAGCTTAGCAGTCGGCTGTTCTGACCGGTAGTTTTACGTGATTTCTTCTATTAATACCAGGAGAATGCAAGAACACTGCCCTCACAAACGGACAGCTCGCAATGTTTCATTCCTTTCCTCGGTCCTCTACCCTTATACACATGCACTACGCTACCACACATGTTGAGAGCTTAGTGCTTGAACTGAGCTTGGGCAGGACCTTGCTGGGGAGATACCATGCTTTCTAACTTCCATACACAATATTTATTTTCGGAGAAATATTGGGGTACATTCACACACACAGATACAAACACATGGTAAATTAGATAAAGATAAAAATATTTTCTGGTATCACAGTCCCCATCCCTCTACCAAAAAATTCAAATTTGAATTTTAGCAGTACTCTCTAGTTCTAATGCTGCCCATTACATTCTTTTTTCAACACCCTAAATGTACAATGAAGTCACTATTTGAAAGCCATCTGGTAGTTTTTATCTGGATTTTGAAGTATAAGTTGCTGTTAAATATGTTCAAAGTACATATTAAATATAAGTTTGCTGATGTTAAAGATCTCAAGTGCGAAGATGTACCCACATATATTTCCTTTCATAAATTTTCATTGAAAATGAAATTATGATGTAACAGTTATTAAATTTGTTCTACCAATTCGGATAGAATATAGCACTTGAGAAACCTGTAAAAGTACAAATAATAATGAAAATAATAGTAAAAATACATTCCAATAAGCCAAGCTATAATAATAATATAATAATAATAATAATAATAATAATAATAATAATAATAATAATAATAATAATGTCCATGGGAGTAGCTGGTCTATCGGACGCGTCACCAGGTGGCGGATCGGGGAATGCTCTTACCGGCCACGCTGGAGGGAAGGTGGGAAATAAAATACCACCCGTGGGCCAAATCCAGACGCTGGCGGCAGCATTAAAACGCTAGGGGAAGGTGACCCCGAAAAGAAACCCACGATGGAAGGTCCCTCAGGATCAACCGTTACGGTGCACGGGATCGGAGCCCCAGTACCGGCCGCCGGGGGTGGGCAAGCAGGCCCCCGGAGGTCGTCAACCAGCGACTGCAATATCAGAGACGTGGACCGCTTGGCGTGTCTGAAATACTATACTGCGACAAGCGAAAGCATTGAGCAAGCAGGCTTTAACCCCTTTTTTGGAAAGTCAAAACTGCGGAGATCACCTCCAAGTACCCCCACGACAACTGGTGTACCCACAGGAGACAAGGCAACCCTAGTCCAAGAAGAGCCCACGTCGGCAGGGGATAGAAATGCGAGAGGCTGGACATCAGATAACTGGGTGATGACTCAAAAATTGATGGAAGACAATCCGGAGATCATTACCCGTCTACAGAGTCAATTCATTATAATCAGCAGCAACAGTCTGAAAAAAAACAGTTATAGTGAAGGACACCATGGCTATAGCTCTAGAAGAGGTGGATGCGCTAATAGGTGAGAAAACATTAAAGAAGACCAAAAGGGGACGTATGAGAAAATAATCCTCCTAGAGAATGACAAAAAGGCCGATACAAAACTGGGCAAACAGATGAACGAAAAGTCGGTGAAAACGGCACAATACCAGAAGAGACAAGCTCAAAGTCCACTACAAGACAAAAGACCAGACAAGAAAGACAAGCAGGATGAAGGCATAGAACTGATTACTGAAAAACCAAACCCAAACCCCGATGAGAACTGGCAGAAAGTGGAACACAGGAAGTCGGTGAAGAAAAAAGAAGAGTTCTCAATGTTCAGACGTAGGAGCGCAAAGGGGAAATATCAGGTGTATTGATGGACAGTGGCTATTGCAGAGCTTCGTCAAGCAAGTGTTAAAGCGAGAATTCTTGCAAGAAGAGCTAAAACGG